TCAGGGATAGTTGACACAGATTTGTTGGTGGGAAATCCCTGCCTGACTAATTTAATGGAGTTTTTTGAAAAGGTAACTAAATATATTGATGAGGGTAGTGCAGTTGATGTGGTTTAATGGAATTCAGTAAGTCCTTTGACCAGGTCCGACATGGTAATGTTAAAAGGTCATGAGCCCCTGAGATTTAAGGCAAGTTGGCAAACTGGATCCAAAATTGGCATGCAAATAGGAGGCAAATGGTGATGGTGGAGGGTTGTTTTTGTGATTGGAAGCCTGTGACCAGTAGTGTATCACAGGATTCGGTGCTGGGACCTTTGTGTTTTGTCACATACATTAAGGACTTGGATGTTAATGTGAAGTTTGCAGATGACATGAAAATTGGTGTTCTTGGTAGTGAGGGGATGATCTCTGGCTACAGGGTGGTTAAGAAGGTGTTTAGCATGCTTGCCTTCATGCTTAGACCATTTGAATATAGGAGTTGGAACGTCATGTCGAGTTTGTACAGGATGTTGGTGAGGCCTCTTCTGTAGTACTGTGTACGTTCTGGTTGCCCTGCTATAGGAAGAATATCATTAAACTGGAGAGGATTCAGAAAAGATTTATCAGAATGTTGCCGGGAATGGAGGGTTTGAGTTACAAATATAAGCTGGGTCATTTTCTTACTGGAGGTTGAGGGTTGACCTTATAGAGATTTGTAAAATCATGAGGGGCATAGATAAGGTGAATAGCAAAGGCTTTTCCCGAGGATGGTGGAGTTCAAAACTAAGGGGCATATTTTTAAGGTGAGAGGAGAAAGATTTAAAAAAGATATATGGGGCAACTTTTTTTAGAGTGTGGGTTTGTTTGTGGAATGAACTGCCAGAGGAAGTGGTGGATGCAGGTAAAGGTACAGTATAAAGTTTTCGAGAAGATTTGTAGTTCGGGTTGTGGATGAGGTTGTAGACTTGCTCGCCGAGCCAATGGGTTTGGTTGCAAACGTTTCGTCACCCTGCTAAGTAACATCGTCATTGCACCTCTGGTGAAGTGTCAGTGTTCTGTACTGCTTTTTATTTGTATGCCTCAGTTTGTTGGGTTGTTTGGTACCACATGCGGTTCTGTTTTTCAGTGGTTTGTACACCAGGTCTAATTCAATGTGATTGTTGATGGAGTTCTGGTTAGAATACCAGGGAATTCCTGGAGGCCTGTTTGCTAGAAACAGAACCAGAAGTGGTACCAAACACCCTAACAAACTGAGGCATATAAATAACAGGCAGGACAGAACACCAATGCTTCACCGGAGGCGCAGTGATGAAGTTACTTAGCAGGGTGACAGAACATTTGCAACCAAACCCACTGGCTTGGCGAGCATGTCTACAAACTCAAAGTTACAGAATTTAAAAGACATTTGGATAAGTACATGAATAGAAAGGTTTGGAAAGACATGGGCCAAATGCAGGCAAGTGGCACTAGTTAGGTTTGGGAACATTGTTGGCATGCACCAGTTGGACTGAAGTATCTGCTTCCATGCTCTATGATCTACAGTCTGATATTGATCAACTTGTAAATTGGACAGAGCAATGGCAGATGGAATTTTATCTTGATAAGTGAGAGGTGATGCATTTTGGGAGGTCTCATAAGGGAATGATATACATAATCTATGATAGGTCCCTTGGGAATACTGAGGAACAGAGGGACCTCTGTATATAAGTCCACAGAAGGCATATGGGATGCTTGCCTTCATAAACCGGGGCTTAGAATATAGGAACAAAAAAATGCTGTGAATGCTGGAAAACAGAAATTACTGGAAAGGCTCAGCAGGTCTGGCAGCGTCTGTGAAGAGAAATCGGTTAACATTTTAGGTCCAGTGATCCTTCTTCAGAACAGGAAGAACCCTTCTTCAGCAGGGAAGTCTTGTTACAACTTTATAAAACATTGGTTAGGCCATAGATGGAATACTATGTGCGTTTCTGGTCGCCAAACTATTGATTGCACTGGAGATGGTGTTAATTTCTTCTACAAGGATGTTGCATGGGATGAAAAGTCTCAGTAATAAGGAGAGATGGGATAGCTGGGCTTGTTTTCCTTGAAGCAGAGGAGGCTGGAGTAGAGGTTCTGACTGAGGTATACAAAATTGTAGGAGGCATAGATAAGGTAGATTGTGAGAATCTTTTCCCCATGGGAGCTGTGTCTAAAACCAGAAGACACAAGTTTGACGTGAGGAGTAAGTGATTTAGAGGAGATCTGATTTAAAAAAAAATTTCACCCGGGGGTGGTAGGAACATGGAACACAAGAGAACCTGCCTCTCAAAGTGTGGTGGAGGCAGGTACTCGCATATCTTTTAAGAAACATCTGGATGTACACATACTGTGCCAGGATATAGTAGACTATGGATCAAGTGCAGGTAAATGAGATCAGGGTAGTTTGGTGTTTGTTGGTCGCATTGGCGTGGTGAGCTACAGTGTCTGTTTCTATGCTGTATGACTTGAAAATAACTCTATATTAATAACCCAGGTCCCTCTGTTCCTGTACCCTGTTTAGAATTGTACCCCTTATTTTGTATTGTCTTTCAATGTTTTTCTGACTAAAGTGCATCATCTTGCACTTGTCTGCATTGAACCTCATCTGCCTACTCTGCCAACTTGCCGATTTCCTTTTTGGAGTTTCGCGTTGTCCACCTTCCTGTTTACAAT